TTAGTTTAATAATTATTTTAGTAAATCAAAAATTAATATGTATATATTTTTTGTTTGAATATCCTAAATGTCTAGTGAATTTATACAATACAACGTTAGTTAACATTAGAAGATTTTAAATATAAAGAGTTGGACAGAGATTTCGGAAAGCGACTCAGATAGCGCTCAAGTCGTAGAAACTTAATAGATATCAGACGCTTATCAAACCACCATCCATTGATCTCATTGTGCACAATGCCAGCGTCAGCTTCGCTAGCGCAACGAATGTACACGCAACAGGACTGCGTGTCCAGCTGGATATCGCATATGTTGCAATTGGGTCCGACTTTTTCAAATATGGATTCGACTATTAATTGCTTCAAGTTTGGTTCCTTTATTTCGGACGCGTCGAACATGTGGCGAATTTTCAGGCAAGATGTGGGCGGGTTGACGATTTTATTCGAGTTATCAAATGCGGAGCTTTGCCATTTTTTCGATGTGCTGAAGTCCTTGTTGCCAATGTTTTTATTCAATGTAATTGTACGTAGTTGTTCCCCATTTCGTACTATCATGCCAAAGAGAACACGGGTATCGTTGGCTTCCAACTGTTGCAGCGCCTTGTTCCAAGCACTCATCAGCTTTGATCGATTGTGAGGTGGCAACAATTTGTCCTGCAATTGATTGATTACAATCTCCGAGTTTTCCGAATGTGTACTTTGATACATCAGTTCATTGATGATATCTTTCTTAAACTGTTCCGTTAATTGTAGACTTTCTTTTTGTTTCATGCGATAAAGGGAGGACAGGAAATAAATCAAGAAAAATCCAGCAATTGTGAGAATTACCAATCCAATAACCGTGAAAAATCTTGTCATTTTCTTTAAAATAAGGCACTTGAGTGGTAAATTTGGTTCGATGAGCTCAAAAGATATTGTTGGTTCTGTTGTGTTATAGGTGGATACAATTGTCTTTATCATCCACTGCGGATTCTGCGCAATTAGGTACTGCGTAGCTAATAGTTTATTGTGTAGATTACCATTTTGTATCTCAGTGTTCCGGCTCAATGCCTTCTTGAAGTCATTCATTTCAAGCGTCGCTGAGTGATCCTCGCTTATGCAATGGTGAAGTCTTGCTCTTTCATTCAGATACCCAAAGAGTTCTTTACATATATGCAAAGCCTTGTTGAACTGATCTTCGCTGATGCATTTCACTTTTTGAGCTGATCCACGGATATCTATGTCGTTCATATTACATATGGTGTATTTGATATCAGTTTGTGTGATGGGGCTAAGATCGAATTTCTTTGCCGTATATACAACAGAAATTAATGCCAAGAATATGAGTAGCGACCCAATAAGTATAGGCGGTATTATATATTGGCTAGCATCTGGTTTTTTAAGAAACGATCGCAGGTCAAACGACAGCAGTTTCTGTACGATCCCATTTCGCATCAATGTCTTCGATGAATGCGCCGAGTATCCATCCTTAAACATGATCTTCTTCTTAATCGAGGCATCGCGAAAGCTAAGGAGTCTGTTAACAACGCCTCCATCGCAATTATTTGATTTCTCATATATTTTATAATAGGGGGCTGGCTTCTCGGCTGGATATATGGGTTTGCGGCTATGAATGCTCAAAGAATGCGGCTCATTTTCATTTTCATAATGAGACGTTAAGAGCGGCGGTGGCGCATACATAGATAGTCTTGAGCTTTTGCCCATGCTCTCATTTGCATCATTTCGATGCGTCAACGAAGAGCTCAGGCGTGTATTAATCTTATTGTTCTCATGCTCCTTGTCAATTATCTTCGGACTTTCCTGTATTGGAATTGTTGGATGTGAATTTTGTTTATCATTGTAGTAGAGTACATAATTATTGACTTTTACTCTTTGGAGTTTCTCCTTTTTAATATGTTTCATTAGTTTTTTGATAAGTATGGGCCTTGTTGTTTCAGTCACTGGAGTATTCGCATATCCAAATTGTTGTAATTTCCTTTGTATTTCAATGTCGCTCAGGGAATTTAAGTTTTCATCCATTTTGTGCTGAAATTAAGAAAAGGGAGAACCTCGTTTTGTATAATAGTGTGTTGACATTTCATATTAAATTTTTAGGATAACATCTATGTATATATTACAAAATATCAAATTATATTCCTCTGATCTCACAAAATGTGCCAAGCATATCGATTTTGGGTTCTTCTAAAAGCAAAGACAATGCTTATTTTTATTGTGCTTGTTTACTAATGTTTAGATTGCGGCTAATGACTGAATATCGCGCATTTTAACTTACCGAACGCCATCAAATTCTTATTGACTATATTTTCAATCAAGTGTTAATTGACTAATCAACAATTAATGCGCACGTTCATGTCTATTAGGAGTTTAGTGTTAATCACTTGCATTACTTGTTCTAAAATTACAATACTTTAATATTTAATAATCTATTCAACTTACTCAATGATCGGCAATGTTGAGATATTAACTATTAAAACAATACAATAAATTCCGAAACTATGTTAGGGATGCTCGATATGCATCGATTTTTAATAAAATATCGATGTATTTGTATAAACTCATCGGTATATCACATCACAACAATTAGTGATTTAATTCAAAGCATCG